TCTTTGATTTTGCAAAGCTTGATTATTATATGTCTTGGTGATTGTCTTTTAGGGTCTATCCTTCCTGGGGTTCGTTGAGCTTCTTGAATGCTTATCTTTTCTCTTTTCAGGATGTTAGGAAAATTTTCTTCCAGAAGCTCTTCAACTATCTCCTCTTTGGACTTGTGTGATTCTTCCTGTTCCCAATGCCGATAATTCTTAAGTTATACCTCTTCATGTTGTCCAACATCAGTCTTAGGCCTTCTTCAGATTTTTTAATCCTTTTTTGTGTTTGCTCTCCTATCTTATTAGTAGTGTTGAGAGATTTATCTTCTAGCTCACTAGTTCTGGCTTCTATCTCTTCAATTCTACTCCTTTGCCCTTTCCGTCTATTGTCCATTTCTAATATTCTATTATTAATCGTTTGGACCTCTTTATGTAGGTTTTGAATTGTTTTCAATGTTGTATCTATCTTATTAGGGAGCTCTGGTAGCGTCGTGGTTACAAATCGGACTGAGAACCTTAGGGAGAGCAGTTCGAAACTACCAGCTGATGAGGAGAAAGATGAGGCTTTCTGCTCCCGTAAAGATTTACAGCCTTGGAAACCCTATACAGGGTTGCTATGAGTAGGAACCAACTCCACGGCACACAACAACAACAACAACATCTATCTTATTAGATTGTTACTATAGTGCTTTCCTGACTTCTTCCTTATTTTTCACAACTCCATTGTATAGTGTTTTGGTACATTTTTCTGAATTCTTTCTCCGGCATTTCCAAAGCCTGCCCATCTTCCAGTATGGAGTATAGGTCTACCTCTAGCTCATTTGCCTCAGTCATTTTATCTTGTTTCTGGACATGTGCTGATATGGTCTTCTGCTTCTGTTTTTTTGGCATATTCAGAAGTTATCTGTGGCCTTAATACTTAGTGGGTGTGTATTTTGGTATGTTTTATGCTTTCTGATTGCCTCTAAGTAGATATGATCAGGAGATGGGCTTTTCACTCTTCTTCCTGAGAAATTTTCAAGATGCCACTGTTGGTCGTTGTGACATAGCTCAGGATTTAATTTTTGGCCTATTTCCTTTTCAGTCTGCCTATACCACTCCACAATCCCTGCTCTGGCCTTTTTTCTAGTTATAAACAGTTGAGGGCCATCTGTGGCCGTTTGGTTTTAAGTGGAAACTGTCTTTAAATTTTGAGGAGCTCCATGGGCATGCCTAGTAGAATCCTCTGGGGGTTGGGGTGGGGTGTCCACTCCCTCAAGTACCCCCTCTAGTCACCAGAATGGAGGTGTGCAGCCAGTGAGAGACCAATGAACAGATTTTAAAAATAACAAAAAAATAATGTCCACATCTTTATCTCCGTGGTTCTGTCAGGCGTCTGTGGCTGCTCTGATCCTTCCCCTGCTTGGTCTTTCCCAAGATGGCAGCTCCAGGAGCAGCTGAGCATCTTGAATTATAAAGCAATGGATTTTTTGCTTCTGCTACATATTCCCCTAGCTGTCAGCCTTCCCACCTTATAAATATTCCTTTATATGTGGTTCAGAGTTCTGGCATCATCCCCTGAGACTGCTTGGTCCAGTATTTGTTGTTGCTGACAGAGCTCCTCACTGCACTTCCACCCAATCTGCCATCTTTTTGTTCTCCCTCTCCTACCCCAAACTTTTCCCACAAACTTTTAGAAGCCATTGCATATATTTTACACAAACCACATCCCCCAAGGAAACTCCCCTTACATCAGATCACCAAATGAAAGGTAATTACATAATACTGAGAATCATGGCCTAGCCAAGTTGACACAAATCATTAACCAACACATTGCAATTTGCTTAAGATCACACAGTTAGAGAAAAGAGTCAAATCAGGTTAGTTTGGTTCCATGGCCCCCTGTTTTCTTTTTCTACCGAAGGGAGAGGAGAAGAGGCAAGGGTCCAGAAAGGGTGTTGGTGGCAAGAGCTGGAGGGTGACTCGTGGTCATATATATAATGTGGAAGCCTACCCTGGTCTATGGAGCATCCAGACCCAAATTTTGAAAGTCAGGAGCAGAAATATATTTGGTGGTGTTTGTGTTCTAAAGTTGTGTGCCTTTCTATTTTCCCCAATTTACCTAACAAATGGAGTCCCCGAATGGTGCAAATGATTAAAACACTCTACTGCTAACTGAAAGATAGAGGTTCAAGTCCACCCAGTGCCACCTCAGAAGAAAGGTAGGCTTCAACCTCTATTTGACCTGACTGGCTAGTCACAGAATTCATTAAATATTAACTTGCTGTCGTGTTGAAAAAGATTCATTAACAATGTCAGTGACTTTTGTAAAATGAATTTAAGCTACAAGTAGTAAGCTCTGACTAGAAGCCTCAGTATTGCACAACAGAGTGTGAAGGGACTCTTTGTCCTCTCTAATTAGCTTTCCCAGGTATTGTTCTCGATGAATAGAAAGCCCAAGTGTTCAGGACATTTCTTTCTGTTCCACTTTGTCTTGGCTTGAGTATATTAGCCTAGTTATGGCCAAGAATACATGAATTTAGGCTTAATAATTAGCTCTGGTAGCATAGTGGTTACAAGTCGGGCTGCCAACCTCAAGGTCAGCAGTTTGAAACTACCAGCGGTTCCGCGGGAGAAAGATGAAGCGTTGTGCTCCTATAAAGATTTACAGCCTCGGAAACCCTGTGCAGGGTGGCTATGAGTCAGAACCGACTCCACAGTACTTACCCACAAACAACAAATTACAGGTCCAAAAATGGAATATTCTTAATTTTTTAAAAGAAAACAACCTGCGAGTGTATTTGTCTGTAAACACTGAATATATTTTTACAGAAAATTATTTCTTTGAAACAAAGGGATATTAGTTGAATTTTCATTAGATAATGTTCTATGTTTTTGTTGTTATTGTTTTTCTATTCTAAACTTTGGCCTAGCCAATTCTAGAGGGCTTGCAGAATAGATTTAGTAATTGTATGCAACTCAGATGTCATGGAACAATTCTGATTCAAAACCATGCTGGTTTTTATTTTCCTATCTGATTTTGGTAAGTATTCCTCAGATAGTTTTGTTGAGAAAACCTGGGATTGTGAGGTTGAGGAATGGAAATAATCCTTTCACTTGGTTATATGTAGCCTTTCCATAATTGAGTCAAAGTGCAGTTCTAAGGGTTTTTAGGGGGAGTGCTGATGACTTAAGATAGTGGGCTCTGATTGGGCAACTATTCTTGTGGGTTCCTTATATTTGACCTAATTTAAACTGAGTTCATGAGCTCATCTTTAAAGCTTTTTGCTAAAAGATTTTCAGCTGTTCAAAATAAGATTAACAGCAGTTGTTGTTAAGTACCATTGAGTCGGTTCCAACTCATACCAACCATGTATAGGATTTCTGAGGAGCAACTGGTGGGTTTGAACTGCCACCTTGGAGTTCAAATCAACCTTGAGTCCAGTGCTTATCTTACGGCGCCACACCAGGACTCCTAATAGCAAAATGTGTGTAAATAGATTCCGTGAGGTGGATGAAAGAAATTTGAACCCTTGTTTCGTTAATAAATTGTAAAATGATGGCTTGGAGAAAACCAGGTACAATTATTGAGTTTGTTTGTTAACTACAGGTTTAGGCCTAATATGGCAATAAAATAAATGCTTATTTTTTAATTAAAAAAAAATTAAAAGGAAGAAGAAGAAAGGCCTGAAAATCATCTAAAAGTAACAGCCACTGAACACTCTATGGAGCAGATTTCTACTCTGGGGCACATATTATTGCCATGAGTCAGAACTGACTCCATGGCGACTGGTACCTAACAATGAAGTAGCTTTGGCGAGAGGGCCAGCTTACACCAGTAAGGATGAGAATTGTATGCACAGTAAATAATAAGAATTAAAACAATGCTTGCAACATCCTGTAAAAGTGGGCTTTCCACACACGGCACTGTGAAGGTTTCCTTGGGTTTTCACCTTCCCTGTATGAATTGTTGTTGTTGTTGTTGTTGTTAAGTGCTGCTGAGTCAATTGTGACTCACAGTGACCCTGTGTAGGGTTTCCAAGGAGCAGCTGGTGGGTTTGAACGACGACCTTGTAGTTTGCAGTCCAATGCAATCCTACGGTGCCATCAGTCTTCCAAATAAGGGCAATTGTTGCCAACGGTGTTGTCCCATTAACTCTAGCAGTAAAACAAATTTTTCCTGGTAAAACAAAACAACTGCTTCCGTGGTTGCAAAACAGAAGGAAAACTCGTTTGGTTTTGACTACTTTGATCAGACAGGAGCCAACTCTGATTGGCTATCCTGAGGCTGAGGATCTGGTTTTGAAGGGTTCTGTACAAAGAGTGAGGCCAGGGATTGCTCCTCCCTAGGAGAGGGGAACACTCAGTGAGCAGTCTGCCCAGGGCTGCAGACCCAGCCTTCCTCCCCACCCCTCCTCCAGGTTTGCTCACGGAGGGTCCCTGGCAGCCATGATGGATGAGACTTTCTCTAAAACTGCCTACCTGGCTGGAGAAGGGTTGTTCACACTCAGCCTCAACCTCAGGTTCAAAAAGTAAGTACAGATCCTTGGGCTGTTGGCCAAAGTCATGGCCCTTTTCATCATTGAAGGGATGGGCAGCTTCAGCAGCTGGGGCACAGGGACCCTACCTGCCTCTCTCCCTCCACAGCCCACTCCCTTCCCAGCAATCCCTCTAGTCTTCAACCAAAATGCAACCTCTGTCCTAGGAGCTGGCAGAAGAGGCCTGCCCCCAGGGCCACTTATGAGCCTTGAGGTAGGGTAGGAGGAACTCAAGGATGGAGATAGACAATGGTGAGTGGGGGTGGGGTCCACAGGAGGGATGGCCTAAGCCGGCTCCTCTCCCAGTCTGATCCCAGTGGGCTCGCTGGCTGTGCTGAACGTCGAAGTAGAAAAAATTGAGGACCAGAAGATCTACATCTCCTGTACGGCTCAGAGCCGAGACCAGCAGACAATTTATGCCAAGTCCTCAGGTAAAAAGGTCCTCAGCCTCCCCCACCCTATGCTATGTCCTGCCGCCACCCATCCCAGTACAAATGGGAGGATCCCATCCCAATCTGGGGTCCAGCATTTTTAGGGGTGGGATTGGGCAATTGCTGTGGTCACAGGAAAAATATGGAGGGCCCCAAAAAGGACTTTGTGTACAAATGGCACACCCAGCCTATACTGCAAGGACAGGCTCCTCATAATGGGTAACCAGGATCAAAATGCTCAGAGCACACCATCAGCTACTGCCATCCCCAGTCTGGCTCCTGCCACTCAGCTCTCCCTATTCTTTCAGCTGTTTTCCTTCAGCTGCAGTTGGAAGAGGACTCATCATTGTAGCAGTCACTCAGCCTGCAGGAGGGCCTACCTCAGGCCCTGGACCTACCACAGAGCCAGGAGGGGTCCCCAGAAAGCAACTGGCAAAGTGAAAGAGAGCCCCTTCCTCTGACTCAATAAAGTCTAACAGCCCCATTTTCTGCCCAAGACCCTTCTATCTCTGGGAATCCAATTCCTGCCGGGGCCTACCATGTCTGCACCAATGGAAGAGAGTGACTGAGTACCTGCTGCGTGAGGCTCAGGGCATACAGCAATGAAAGGATGCACAAGCGGGGAGTCAAAAGCAGTGCACACTCCTACACCCTCACTTATCATGGGTGCAACAAACATGCAAAAGGAGGAGGGGCCAACTTTATAAATGAGAACAGGAAAGGCTTTAGAGAAGTTGTGCCTGAACTGACTCTCAAATGCCAGTGGTGTGCACCAAGCAGACAGGGGCAGGGAACAAATTCCAGGCAGAGGGACAGTTAGAGCAAAGGCACTGAGAGGTGAAAATACACAGTGGCCTTGAGGCCAGCAGATGTTGAGTAGGGCAAGTGTTTAGGGAGAGACAAGGTAGGCTTGCATACTTGTCTGAGTTCTCCAATGCTGCTATCAGAGAAATCCCACAAGTGGATGCCTTTAACAAACAGAAATGTATTCTCTCACGCTCCAGAAGGCTGGAACCCCACATTCAGAGTGCTGCCGGGGAAGGCTCTCTCTGTCAGCTCTGGAGAAACTCCTTGTCACCTCTAGAGGCCCAGCATTCCTTGGAGATCTCTATGCATCTTGGCATCACTCTTTCCCTGGATCGAGGAGCTTCACAGTGCTGGGACCCTGGGTCCTGCACTCCACTCCTGGCTTTTCTTTCTCTGTGGCAGTGGGTCCCTCTTTCTCTGCTCAGTTCTCTCTTGTAAGATGTTGCTGCCTACACTACTGGGAAACTCAGGGTTGTAATGGGATTGAGGGTATTGCAGCCCACC